ATGTCTATATATTTACAAATTTGACCGCTCACCCTTTTATATTCTTGTATTTTTTATTTATTGATTGATAATATATTATTTGGTCTTAGGCATGGCAATAGGGCGGGATGAGACGGGGTGGGTTTTGCCTCCCTAATGCCCCGAACTTTTTTAACCATCTCCACGGGGTTAGAAATTAAGTCTCTGTCCTCGTTGGATTTCGAGTTTCCCCGTCCCCGATCTATATTATTTTTAAAAAAATAATTATATTTATAATAAATTATTTTTATATATTTTTTATACATAAATAAATATTTATAATTTTACAATTTTTAATTATTATTAATTAAATATATATTTTAATTTATTATATTTATATTAAAATATGTATGTAAAAGAAATATTTAATTATTTTTTATTTATACATATATATAATATTTATAACATTATTATTACTATTATTATTATTATAATATATTCAAGCATATGATTACATATATAAATTAATTTATTTTTAAGTTGTCATTTAAAAATATAAAATATATATTTTATAAGGAAATATTTAATAAATTTAATTCAGTATTTAATTAGTTCGAAGTAATAAAAGTTTAAATTATCAATTCTTTTTAATCTTTTAAAATACAATTATTTTATTAAGATAAAGTTTGATATATGACAAATAAGAATAATAAGATTAAAAAAATATGACATAATAAAACCTAATAAATATAAATTATAAATAAAATAATATTAGTTACTACTAAAATTTATATAAAATATTTAGAAAAATATAAAGAAAAAAATAATTAACTGTGTGTTCATCAAATTGGTTTAAAAAATAACATAAAAAATGATTGGAGAGATTAAGGAAATATGAAAAACTGAAAGGTAAGGAAAAGATAATAATGTAATAAATTAATTGATATAAAAGATTAAAAAGACAAAAGAATTAAAAAGTTGGTAGAAGAAAAGTAAAAATAGTGAAATATAAAAAAATGACCTTATATGTAATAGAAAAAGAAATACTTTTAAAATATTAATATTTTAAAATTTAAATTTAAATATAAAGTCGAGACGGGCAGGGTGAATTTCATTACCCATCCCCGTCCCCGACTTTTTAAAGCGGGGAAAATGCGAACTCATCCGCCCTCGGCCAACTCGGTTTTTCTCCGTCAAACTCGGGATAGGGATGAATCGGTCCCCACAGGTACGAGTTTAATTATCATCCCTATTTAGCTCCTCAAGATCAATGGTCAAGATCCAAGTATGCAACAATAATTAGTCAACTATTTTAATATTTTACCAAAAAGTCAATTATCCTAATGTGTTAGCTAAGTTAATATATTCTATAACATTTATATCCATGAGAGATGTGTCCATAAAAATTATAACATATTTTAAAAAATAAAGTATAATTAATATATAACTAACTTAATGGTGTATAATAATCAACCTCTTTCTATTCATGTTTGCATAATAGTCATCATCCATTATATTATTAGTAGTTGCACTCATATCCTTAAGTTGTTTATTACACTATAACTTAAAATATAAAAATTAAATTAATTTTTTAGTAAAAATAAATTACAAAGAGAATTACTTACTCATAAATATCTGACGCAAAATAAATATTTTTTTCTTAATAAAAGATTATTTCTAATGTATGCTTGTATCTCTACTTTCTTATTACCTGACAGTTGAATGAGTTGAGAATCTATAATTTCATGGATCTCATATTTCCCCTCATTCACGCATAGTTGAGATATATACCTATAATGAGTGATATAATGATTAATGAATTATTTCACTAACTAAAACTAAAATAGTAAGAATTTTATTTTTAAAAACTTACATTATCCATAATTACATAACAAATATTTTGAGTTTTAGATTGATCGATGTAATATTTAACACATAAGACAAGTGCAAATATAATGGGACCTCACTCTCTCTAAAAAAATAGTAGTCTCATGGTACCTCAAATGGGTTGATACTAATAGCCATGACAAGTCATTGTATATGACAAGTCTCATTTTAGGAAGACATTCTTACATGAGTGAAAATGAATCTCAGACTAGCTTGGATAATTTAGAAGTTTTGCTGCTTAATTAAAAATCTCTTGTGTTAACGAAAATTATGAAAAGAGTAAATTTGTAGAAATGCACTAAACTAGTTTTAGGCTACATAACTTAATTCTAAACAAATATACCTTAATTTTCACCCAAAAACAAATTTTCTTCAACCATTTAGTCACAATCTCATATCAATTCATTTACTAAATCAAACATACATTCAAACTACTTTCCCCACAACTTAAACAAAGAAAGTAAGTTTGGTAATTCTCTCCCAATTTCCATCCAATCCTACAAAAATAATTCTAGTGATCAGGTCACTCTGCTACATTTAATTTCTCTAACTGTGAGTACCATCGAAATTGAAAATAAACTAGTGTCCCTTATCTAGAATTAGAGTTGTCCAAATAAGGCTCTAAAAGAGATTTTTACATAGGATGCCCAAAACTGCTCACAGGAAACCTTAATCATAAAAAACTAAACACACTAGGAACCTAGACCAACAAAAAATTTTCTTTTCTCAAAAAATATCATGCATTCACTCAGTACCACATACAAAAATAGAGAAAATGGGGGAAATAATACTTACTTTAATTGAGATTATAATTGGGTAAAAATATCTACTCTTTACTACCAATATTAAAAAGGACGAGGAATATGACTTCAAGATCTAAAGAAGTTTGAATTTTAAAAAAGAATTCAAATCAAAATATTTTTGGAGAGATAACCATTTTATATAAATGAAAAATAAATATTTTCCTTATTATTTATAATCTCTTAAACATTAAAATAATTTATTTTTATTTAATTAAACTATTTTTTTAGACCAGATTTACCATGTATATTATATTTTATTTTATTTTATATGACATGATATATTATATAAATTAAAATAATATTTTTATTATTATTATTTCAATGATATTTAATATTTTTATTAAAAGCAAGGTATTATTGCAATTGATAGTAATATGGGAAATCTTAAAAAAAAAAAAAAAGAAGAAGAAGAAATAAGATACCGATAGACAAATTCTCTTCTCACAGGTCACGTTGGTGTCTCATTATATGTTCAAAGGGTCTAAAACCAAACCACACCTTCTAGGTATCGTATTTAAATATTGAACCACGAACGACTTTCACCAAATTAATTATCAATCTACCTTTGAAAACCTTATGTACATACGTGCTTATTAACAAGGTTTCACATACAATCGCTATCTTTCCTATATTCGAGTTTTGTAATGAATTTGTTCCTAACGATGTACTAGTCTTATATTTACTAGAAAAACTCCATTTTAATATCCAGATAAAAATATAAAAAAATATAAACCATATTTTGGTGAGTTTAGAAAGAGATGTGGATGTAAATTATTTTTGACTTCGACTTCAAAGTGAAAGCTATGAGCGTGTAAGACCATAAATGTATCGAAAAGAATTTGTGTAAACATATTGCTTGTTTTTTATATTTTTATAAAATTATGATTATTATATTTTTTTATTTAATGTAGGTTAATATGTTATATTAAATTTCAACTAATATTATTTAGTTTTTACAAATTCGATACAATTTAACTATTTAAACTAAAATATTGAATCTACTGGATTATAAAAACTTAAATATGTACTGATACTAATTAATAAAAATATAGATGCTAAAATTATTAACCACGTAAATTTTGAAACAGTCCTCTTTTTTAATATAGGTACAAATACGTTACTAATAACTTGTTCAAACCTTTCACATTATCATCCTACGGTTTACAATGGGTTTCTTTAGACTTGTCCAAATATTATTGCATGCCTTTTATTCATATTTGGTTTTCTTGCTTCCTTATCGTAAAGTTCTTCAATCAATAGTGACTGTGAATTTTTTACATTAAATGATGTATATTAAGAATGAAGAAAGCATCCATATGGCACTATCTAGATTGTAATATGTTATGTTTACGAATGATAAAAAAAAATATGCATGAACCATCTAAACTTGAAAATGATGCAAAAGAGAAAAGAATAAATGCCGCCACGTTTTGCACGTTTTTTTTTCTACATTTTTAGCATATCTTTTTGTTTTTCTTGTCAGATTTAAATAACATTTTCATATACACAGTTGGATTCCTCATTCTAAAAATTAAATTCTGGATATGTAAAAGACTTTACGTAACTGTGGAAATTACTTTTATGTACGAAGAAGTTTTTGAAGCGCAAAAGTTTATTACTTGTACAAGAAAAAGGTATTAAAATTTAATTTCGATAACTATTTCTACGTATCTCCAAAAATTATATATTCCTGAAGTGTTAAGATTTTACACATTTCAAAAAAATAAATTATAAAACAATAAAATTAAGTTTTTGTATAAAAAAGAAAAGGAGCGTACTTAAAAATAAGGCCAGGCCCATTCGTATTTAGCCCATACTTTCCGTACCTCTTCCTTGATTCCTTCTCACACTCACAAAGTCTATAAAGTTTAGCAAACCCAAAAAATGTACAGGTTGGGTTAATTACAGTGAATTACCCTGCTCTGTCCCACTCGTCTCTGTTTTGTCTCACTCACAGTTGAAGTGGCATAACTAAGGTCAAATTATCAGGCTCTCAGATTATGTTAGAGCATTGTATTTAATATATTATCCTTCATAAAGTTAACATAAACATGCATCTTAGGTTAATCACTTGGAACAAGTAGAGGGAAGGTACCCCTAGCAACCATGGCATTTAACGTCCTTATATATAGCAATGTCGGAATAACTGACCTCTCAAGACTGCTGATGAGCAGAACAAAATGACATGCAACCAAAATTATCAGAACTTGCAAGAGCACCCAGAAAAATTGAGCTCAATTACATAAAAAACTAATTGACATTTGATAATGTTTCTTAATTGTACGTACATTGGATGAAACTTTGAACAAGACACAATAAGTATCAAAAGTTTTAACTACCAGTATCTCTTACTTAGATTGGCTGACCTTTGGGAATAATTTGATCTTTGAGCCACATGTAAATAGGAACCAACACAAACCATGTAGCTGCCAACGCACCCAAAGCGAAGCGCATTAAGAAGACGAAAGGATTAATGGGCTTTTCAACATCTTCTTCCTTCGGACCAAGCTGCAGCAAATTGTAGAAACTAATTCAATCATCATATTTTACATTTCATTCTTCTTGTTAAACTACGATAAGGAAATATACTAATTCAAGGGGATAATAATGTAAACATTTTGAAAACAGATCACATTTATTGGCAAAGATAGGTAAAAATATGTTAGCCCTTTATTGGAAATCCAGATTCTAAACCAAAGTATTCACAGCATTCAGTTGAAAAACCCAGAACATTTGCCCGCCCATGTACAAAAATTTTGTAAACAAAAAATATTGTATTATTAAACTTCAATTTATTCAAAGAATGAGAACCTTTATAAGTTGAAATGAAAGTGTGAAACTTTACCTACCTAAGCATGTAAATCAAAACTGAAAGTAACCAGTAAATTCAACCTTGTTAGTTTGATCATCATACTTAGAGTACAGTTATTAATTTGGTTCATTGACACTTCTAACCATCGTATTGCTAGTAAATGATCGGTTGTTTCTTCATTCACATGTGCACTACAGCCTAAGCAAATATCAATAAAGAGTACAAATAGTATGCTTTATTCAGAAGTCATTGTTGTCATACTTTCTCAAGACCATCACAAAGAATTGGAGTGACTTTGCAAGATTAACCTCACACCAAACGATTTGGATCCTCTATTCTTCTGATACATGAAGGTTATTTAGGAAGGCAAACAATTTTGTGCCAGTGTTAAAAAATAAACTTGTAGTTAAAGGGATCTAATCATAAAGAATGGGATATATACTTAAATGTACTGTAAATCATTAAAAAACGGATGCACATCATCAAGGAGGGAGAAAAGGTCACATAGAACCTGCCTTCAATTCAAGTTAAAATATAACAAACAAATCCACAAATAAAAAACAGAGCAAACGAACATAAAAAATATATAGATTGCAAATCTAAGAAGACAAATACCTGTAAAGGAGAATCCCCAGATGCCGGCTTAACACCGGTCACAGAACAACCCATAATCAAGCCATGACGGCGAACCCCACGGTACCACTTTGGACCAATCCTTTTTAGTTGGACATCCTTAAACCCTGCCTTTTGAAACCACTCAATATACTCTTCCTCCTTGGGGAAAAGCATCCAAACATCTGCAAAGAAACGTGACAGCCAAAATGTTGGGTACACAGGACCAATTAGACAGGCCTTGCCTCCAAATTTCAAAACTCTGTAAGCTTCCTTGATGCCACGCTGTGGATCCGGCCAATATTCAATACTGAAAAACCCATTGAGAAGTAAATAACCACATTTGGAATGTGGAAGCTGTAACTATTTGCTTCTTAAAATCACATCCGAAACGTGAGAAATCACATCTGAGATATGGAACCAAACACACTATACATCTATATACACGTAAAAAATAACCAAAATGTAAAGTAACTTCAAATCTAGGTCAATGAATAAATTGAACTCTTCAATAACAACAATGCAACTATGGCACGGCACTGCAAACTTGTAATCACACAATATCATCATATAAGAAAGCAGCATAGATAAGACAGGTGACAGAGCCTTACCTTCCTGCAGACACATATCTATCTGCATAATCGGTTGGAAAGGGGAGATCCTCAGCGTCCCCTTCGATTATTTTGCATTCCTTGAGAGGCTCCTTCTGCTTGGCCTTAGCAAGCTGGTGGGGTGACTGGTCAAGAATGGTGACATTCTTGGCATCTACGTGCTTGACAATACCCAGAGTGGTGAAACCCGTGCCACCACCAACATCCACAACAATCATATTCCTGGAACTGAGATCAGCGGGTTCAAGGGCTTCATCCCTCATGTCCTCAGTCCAATGGCCAGGGTTAATCACATGGTCATACACAATAGAGAGAAACCTATAGAACCAAAACGCCTCTTTCTTGTGCTGAATAAACCTGGGCTGCGAGGTAGGCCTCGAAGCAGAGACACTACACTTGGGCACTACCATGCTCCTAGAGCTGGGGATTCTAGCACTACTGGTAGCAACAAAACTCACTCTGGGAAAAGCCTTACCGTGCAAATCCGAAGCCGTGAAACCCAACCCATTTCCGGTTAGGGTTCTGAGAGTAAGCTTTTCAGTTCCACTGAGCATTACTGAAGCCATTGAACCAATCTACAAACAAAAACCAAAGTTCAATTGAAGTGAAGCTTTAGTTTATCATAGAAACATAGATGTTATCCAGAAAAATGAAAAGGGACAGTGGGAAATTAAGCTCTTTGGTAAGGAAGAGAACAAAAGAAAAGAGGGAAGCATAACCTTAATTGGATGGTGTGACGGTTGAATTTGGTGTGGCTCACGGAACCTAAGAATATTAATTGATATTCATTTCTAACCACTCACTGCTACATACGGAAACATACTCCAATTTCACTAACTTAAATGAGTTTATCACATTTTTTTTCCTCCTCCAATTAGGAAGGATTCAGAACAATTAGTGCACCGAAAACAAATCAGGCAGGGTTATAAAAGCGATAATGAAATAGATTAATGAGTTTTTACCACGATTGATATGTTGTGGTTCTTTGGATTGTTCACTTTTTTTTTAATCAAATAAAGTAAAAATTATGTTATATTTGTCTTTAATTTTGGTAATTTATTATATTTAATACTTTTTAATTAATATTTTAAATACATATAATATTGTATAATTAACCTTCTCGATTATTTGATTATATGTAATATTAGTTTAATAAAGTAATAATCAATATTAAATAAATATAAATAATTTCTTAAAAGTTTTATAAGTAGAAATATTTTACGTATTCAAATTTATTGAATTCAATATTATATTATTATACTGATTTAAGCATTATAATATTTTTGAGGGGATTTGACTCTTTTAATATTCAATATAATTTGATTACGTAGATGTCAAAATATTTGTGATTAAGATTAATTTATTTGAGTTTCTTGGATAACCTTTTTTATTATAATTTTTTTAACAAAAACATTTGGTGTGATTCAATAAAACATATCTTAAGTTATCAATCATCACTTTAACAAGCATTAATATGAATACTTTATCAATAATTTGAAATCTCATATGAAGAAAATGTAAAAGAAGAACAAAACAAATGTTCATGCAAAACTCAAGAGAATTGAGCAAAAACACGAAGAAGAGATGAAAACATTCAAAAGGCAAAATAAAGAAGTGGAAAGACAATTCCGTGTTTTGACAAGATCTCCTCCAATATGTTACACTCCATCATGATATTAGTCTTAGTCGTGCCATTAATCACTACCCTTAAATAAGAGGCTCAAATTGAAGATGAGTCTAATTGAAGAGATGCTCGAGCCGAGCTCGAATCAAATATGAAGAAAGTTGATTCTCATAATATTCAAGGGAAATCCAATCCAAATTGAAGATTGGAAACCCCTTCACTCTCATAATTCTGACAGAGCCATTACTTACTAAATGGAAAACCTTTACTATAGTAGAAGGCCCCTACGATGAAAAGGTTTATAGGAGGAATGGGCTTGGATGAGCATATTTATGTTATCTATTACAAATTAGTATATTTGGTGAAAAAGATGTTTTCTTATGCAGAATTTTTCCTATGGCTCTAAATGTAACAACACTAAAATGGTTTTATGACTTACCTTTTTAGTCAATAGAATCATTTGAGAATCTAACCAAAAAATTCTGAGTTAATTTTGTAACCACAAAACCATATTGACCAACCTGTCTCAACCTCCATGGGTTGACGAGGAGTGAAATGAATCATAGAGGAAATTCATGGAATGATTTAGTGAGGTGAGTCTCACCATACATAACAATTCCTTGATCTAATCATCTCCTTGATAAGAGGATTAAGGCAATGCCAATTTTTTATAGCCTATATATGGAGTATCTAGATTCATTAGAGGATCTCAGCTCGAGCCTTTAGGTTCGTACAATTTGAGGAGAATATTAAAAACAGAAAAAGAATATGTCAAGAAAGGAAAGACTCATCCCATAAATATAACTCAAACAAGATATTTAAGCAAGATGATAGCCATGAAGAGAGGAAATTCACACCCTTGAATGTTAGTGTTGAAATAGTCTTATGAGAAACATGCAATTGGGAACTTGTTAAGTTACTAGAACCAATAGTCACACTGATAAGTTATTATATTCTCATATTTTCTTCCCTTTCTAAACTTATTTTAATTAGTATTTTGGGCTTAACTTTCTATTATTAGTGAATTTTTACTAATTGGGCTTCTTTGGGCCAATAATTCAGATTTTAATTAATTTGAATATATTTGATCTAATTTTTGCTCATTATTAATTTTAGGACAGTTAAAACAATTTTGGGCCTAGAAGATTGGGCTAGATGCCATATTACACTTTAAAGCAATTTTTTGTTTGGAAAATTGGGTCAAATGTCATATTTTATTCTATACGGGTACTAATATTGGTTCACTGTTTTGTTTATAATTTTTGCTACAGATCTCCAAAAATTATGATTCTGGAAGCATTACAAACTAGACACACTCAGATTTCCATAGGATCCAAAATCATTCAATTCGAAGCTAAATTGAATTTTACATAAATTATGCAAAACGGGTCAAGCGCACCAAACTGGCCCAATGGACATGCTTAAGTAATTTAAGTCTCCCAAATTCATTAGACCTTCAAAAATAGTAGAAACAATGACTCTTTAAATCTAACTCAAAAGTCTTTCAGAGGAGACTGACATCGCTTAATCTGGATAAGTATTGAAAATACTGTACATGTTTGAAGTTGGCGGACCTGCACTGAAGCCAACTTATGATGTATTTTGTGGATCAGTTAGGCCCAAACCTAGATTAAGATTAGGGTTAGGGTTATTTATATAAGAGAGGCACATCACACATCACAAAAGGACCATGCAGCCACCACACAACCATCTTTCATCTTCTACAAATTGTATTCAAGTTTGTTTACTTTTTTGTCATTATTCTTATTTTGATTTTAATTGTGTCTCTTCTTCTGTGTTTTCGATTTTTCATGGATAACTAAATATTTATATTGATTTTATGAGGAGAATGCAAGTAGATCTTTGAGGTTTTGTTTTTCAATTTCATTTCATTTGTTCTCTTAACTCTTCATCTTCTAATCTCAGTGTTGAATTATAATCTGTCTATGCTTAATAAACCGAAACTAATATCACAGTTTGCTTAGTTCTGTATTAGATATGAGATTATGTGATGTATGCAACGCTTAATTGTATAAGGATAATTTGGGGTTAATCCTCGCTTAGTTGGTTAATTTCATGTTGGAATAAGGGTTAAGGAAAATTTGGAATTAATCTTCGCTTAGTTGGTTAATTTCATATTGGAATAAGGGTTAAAGCTAATTTGGGATTAATCTTCGCTTAGTTGATTAATTTTGGATTGGAATATAATTTGGGATTTATCTTTGCTTAGTTGGTGAATTTCAAATTAATTTTGTAACCTAGGATAAGTGACACTGCATTGGAATTAGGAAATCAATTGCATTTTAATCTGTTTTTAATCCGCATTTTTATAATTTGCTTCATCTATTATTTTAATTCTGAAAAACCCTCCTTTTGTTGCTTTCTAATTTGAAAAATTGATAAGCTTTGATAGAAATTCGTGGTCTTTGAAAGAAGACCTAGGAAAGATTTCTAGTACTACATTTATCTGTTTTAATTATTTGACCGAATACGACATCGATCACACACCCTCGAATGCAAACCTATCAAAACAATGTGCATGACATCAAAATTATGGTCACACCAATGAGAATTGTTGAAATCTCTAAGACATCATGAATGATCTTATCTAAGTTAACTCCTTAGGCCAATTTATTCAAGGCTATAGGCAAGAACGAGGGTATAGATAGGAAAGATCTTGAGGTTTTCATGATTGAGGTCGAGGATGTTTTGGTGGGCCATGACGGGGACATGATCATCCTCATGACAACTTATCCACAAAACACTCCAAAGAGAAAAAGGGGTGTGATTAACACTATTGCAAGTGGATTCGCAGGGGTGGAAGTACAAATTTAGTTTAGAGGAGACACTTGAGAATTGTGAAGAACGTCAACATAACTCGGTCACTTAAACCTAGAACATTACCCTTAATAACCTTCATTGATAAATATTTTAGCTCATAGACCCCAAGCAAGATGGTTCTATGGTAATAATAGTTTACATTACTAATTAGGAAGAAAAAAAGAGACAACTATTTACTAAAATAGCTCAATAGATATCTTGTATTGGTCCACCTTTCTAAAGATGGACATATCACATGATTTGATCCAACCTTATCTTGATCCTCTTGTGGATTTGTTGGTGAGTGAGTTAATACTCATGGATATATAGATTTTCTTACCACCTTTGGTATTTGAGGAGAAGATAAGAGTATTTTAGTAAGGTATATATTGGTAGAGGAAAACACATCTTAAAATGTTTTCATAGAACGAAGAACCCTAAATAAACTCTGGAAACATTGTGCTCACAACACATATGGGCATGAAGTTTTGCATTGGAGGAGGACAAATTGTTACAATCAAAGCAGACCCCAAAGAGGCTAGAGAATATTATGTTCTTAGCCTTAAAATTCAATGTTACTTATTAAAATGAACCCTTGGAAATCCCTCATGCTAATGATCGAGCTGACATAGCCAAAACAATGTCAAAGAAGTTGATGTTGATCCTCATAAAAAATCAGAATATAATCAACCCAATTTTGATGAACCAATTGTCGAGTTTCAACTTGGATCTAACCCTTAACAAATAACTCAAATGGCAAGTCATAGATGGAGATCTTCAAACACAAGTAAAGGAAGTACTTTATAAAAACGTCAATCTCTTTACATGCAGTGCAACAAATATGTTAGGCATTAATCCATATTTTATATGTCATAAAATTGTTATTTTACCAAGAGCAAAATACATAACATAAAGAAAATGTAAATTACAAGAAGAAAGACAAAAGATATTAAAATAAGAAGTTTAAAAACTATCAAAAGTCAATTTCATTCGATAAGTAACATACACAACTTGGTTAGCAAATATAGTGTTAGTAAAAAAAATCAAATGACAAAAGGCGTATATGCCTTGATTACACCATTTGAAGAAATTTGTCCTAAAGATTTTTATCCCTTACCAAGC